TTCGCGCAATACAATAAGAGGTGCATAATTTCTACAGATGCTGAGATTGTTTTTTTGGGGTGGGGTGGGGTGGGGGGCATCGGTGGTGGAGGGGTTACTGGTAGGTGTTTATACGTGCACAAATGGGGACAAATCAGAATATATAGATTGATAAATACAATCACACCGACATAGAGATGAAGAAACTGACAGAGAGAGACAGAGAGAGAGAGACCATAGACACATACACGCAAACACACACACACAGACACACACACACACACATATATATATATATATATATATATATAAAAGTGAACATTGAAGTCAACACTCAGAGGCGACAGTCTGTTTCATGCTAGACGCAATATATATATATATATGTGTGTGTGTGTGTGTGTGTGTGTGTGTGTGCGTGTGTAAATATATATACACATATCTTGACAGTTAGAAAAACATACAAATAAAGACATACTTTCGATTGTCATGAACAAACTGGCATAGATAGATAGACAGATAGAAAGAAAGAAAGAGATAGATAGATAGATAGATAGATAGATAGATAGATAGATAGATAGATAGATAGAGGGATAGGAATAGACTGAGATAGATAGATAGATAGATAGATAGAACAAGACTGAGATAGATAATTAGATAGATTAATAGAAGCAGACTGAGAGAGATAGATAGATAGATAGATAGATAGATAGATAGATAGATAGATAGATAGATAGATAGATAGATAGATAGATATGAAGAAACTGGGATAGACAGTTATGGAGAGACAAAGATAGATAAATACATATATTACATCGAACCTATTTAGAAACACCTTCATCTCTCTCTCTCTGTTTCCGTCTGCCTTTCTCTGTCGTCGTTCTCTCTCTCTCTCTCTCTCTCCATATATATATATATATATATATATATATATATATATATATATATACCTTGTGTGTGTGTTTACATACCCTGCATATAATAGACCAGATGTAACTTTCTTTTTTTTTTCAATTCTGATAATACCCAAAACACCATTGCCTGCCATCTAATTCTACTATGTGTCGCATCTCAATAGGATATGAGTGGTCATGTCACTCCACAGCCTCCGGTTTGTCTGTTTTTGTTTTAGGTAGGGTATTAGTTGCTTAGGTCTTAATTGATACTTGTCTCTCTTTCCCTCTATTCAACCCGTGTGTATCAGATTCTCCAGGCCCTCTTTCCTCATTATGTATCCCATCAACTTCAGTTGCCTCTTCCTGATGTTAAGTATAAGCCTTCTCCTTGTTTGCATCTTCTCCAAGACCTCATCGTTGCTCACACGCTCGGTCCATGATATCATCAGCATCCTTCTGTAGAACCATATCTCCGTCGCCTCGAGTCTCTTCTTCATCTGCCGTAAGGGAAGATAGATGTCACATGACAGCTCAGTACTCTTTTCTTTGTTACCAAAGAAATCCTTTCAGGACGTAGCCGATCATGGCTCTCCACCTCTCCCTATCCCTTGTAACTCTCAATAAGTTCCGTCCCTCTGCCACCTCCCCCAGACCACGTTCTGTCATCCACTTGCTTAAGACCGCCAGGTATGTCAGTCGTTACTTTCCCTCGCCTCTGTTTCCCTCTATTCGACCTGTGAGTATCAGATTCTCCAGGCCTTCCTTCCTCATCATGTGTTTCAGAAACTTCAGCTGCATCTTCCTGTTATTAAGTATAAACATCCTCCTTGTTTGAATCCTCACTTAGATCTCCTTGTTGCTCACACGCTCGGTCCATGATATCCTTAGCATCCTTCTGTAGAACCACATCTCCGTCGCCTCTTGTCTCTTCTTCATCTTTGAGGAAATCGTCCAACATTCGCTGCCGTAAAGAAGGACAGATGTCACGTAACAGCTCAGTATTCTTTTCTTTGTTACCAAAGAAATCCTCCTGTCTCGTAATACTGTGCTCAGCTTTTGGAATGTGTCATTGGCCATCCCAATACGTCTACGGATCTCAGTGTCACATATACGGTCCTCTGTCAAAACACTTCCCACATATTTAAATTTCCTCACCTGCTTGATTTTAGTATCTCCGACCTGCAAATCGCATTGCGGGTTCATAACCATGTAATTCTGTCTTCTTGTAGTCTATGCTTAGTCCTTTCTTCACACTCTCCGTCGTTACCTTCTGTAGGAGATTTTGTCATTTCTTTTTCGTGTCTGCTATCAGTACTGTGTCATCCGCGTATCTTATGTTGTTAAGATTGTGGCTGTCAATGCTAAATCCCGGTAACGTTTCCAATTCTCTGAGAAAGAAAGCGACACTGACAGTTAAATATGAACTAAATTTTGATTGGTTTAGTTTGGTTTGTATTACGGCATATCAACACCTCAATGGGTTATTTAATGCTGAAAAAAATTTTATTGCTGATAATATTTGACTTTTTCAAAAATGTATTACTGGTAATATTTTTTCCTCAAAAATGTATAGCTGTTTTTTTTGTTTTTTTCTAAAATGTATTACTAGTAATATTTTTTTTTTTTAAAAAAAGGCATTGCTACTTATATTTTTTTTTTTTTTCAAAAACATGTTCGTAATATTTTTTTTTCAAAAATGTATTCCTGGTAATAGTTTTTTTTTTCCTTCAAAAATTATTACCGGTAATAATTTTTTACAAAGTATTTCTGGTATGATAAGCTCTTTTTATACTTTCATAATGTTTTACCCCAGTTTCGGGGTTAACTTTTTGCCCAAATCTGGGACCCTAACTGGTGCTACCACCCCGGGTCAGGGTGGACCTGGGAACACCAGTAATTAAGAAATAGTTCCACATTCCTCAAAACCTCCTGATCAGAGGCCTTGCAGTTGGACGTAGTTTATCGTCTTACCCAGGACGCGAATTTAGTTTATCGTCTTACCCAGGACGGGAACTGAATTTTGAACTGAATTTTGAACTGTATAATGTTCTGCCAGTTTGTTTAATGGAGAAATACTGAATCAAGTCCATTATCAAAGAGAGATTATGTTTAAAAAAAACAAATATTAAATCTGTGTTAAATAAATTTCTCTTTATTAAGCTACGGATTGCTTCAGTAATCTAATGTTCCATACCTTTTTTTTTTTGTGACGGTGAAAGAGTGCAGAACACCAGCATCATTGATAACATGCCTTGAACGGTTTCACTCTTTCTGACTGGCTCTTTCGTTTTTAAGCGAAAGATACGTTAAAATGAATATTCACGCTCTGCCGAGAAAAGAGATTAAAGTACAAAGAGCTATTAAACCAAAGAGTCGGGCGTCCTGGGTAAGACGATAAACTACATTCAGCAGCAAGGTTTCTTATTAGGAGGAACCACCGCTTAATTGCTGGTGTTCCCAAGTCCACCATGACGCGGGGTGGTAGCACCTGTTAGGATCCCAGCTATGGGCAAATTGTTAATTTCCAAACCGTGCTCAAAACACTATGAAAGTGCAAAAATAAGTTTTAATATTGGCAATACATTTTCTTTTTTTTAAATTGGAAAAAAAATTATTACCAGCAATACATTTTTAGAAAAAATATTTCCAATAATAGATTTTTGAAAAGAGAAATATTAAAAAAAAATATTGCCTGAAATACTTTGGAACAAAAAAAATTTTACCATCAATAAAAACCTTGTCGACATTAAATAACACATTGAGATTCATATGCGGTCAACAAATAGATTCAAATATCAAGTGAATCAATATAGACACGTACTGAACGTTCTTTGAGACTAGAAAGCCTTAGGATCAATATTCTGGATTATCGATTACCAATGGGATTATCTCTAGCTGTTGAAATCTTGATCGTTTTTAGTTCTTACAGATAGCATCTGCTTCCCAGATCTAACCACTCTTGTAGAGCTTCAGGTGACTGTGTTTTTAATTTTAACTTTCATTTCCCATAGACCTGTTGCCAACCACCTCTAGAGAAATCAGACTACACTATTTAATCCATCCCTGGGGGATGAGATCAATTCAGTACTTTCCTAAGACTAATGATGAGCAATTCAACGAATATTCTTCATATGTACAGTGTCCCCTCAGGGCGTAAGGCATCATGGATCTCCATAATTTTCTTGTCTTTTATAGATCTTAATAAAATTTGTCTTTTTGTTATTTCTCCTAAACTCTGTTCTATCACGAATTTACAGAACCTCACTAATGTGATGTGTTCTTTTCCTCTGTACTTCTTGCTTTCAATCTGCCCTATGTGCATCTGATTTTCCAAACCCTCTTTCCTCATTTTTATGCCCTAGAAATTCCAATTGTCTCTTCCTCGTGATAAGTATAAATGTCCTTTTTGTTGGCATTGTCTCTAAAAGTTTGTCGTTGCATGTTCGGTCCATTGTGTTCTTAGCATCCTCCTGTAGAACCAGATTTCTTTTGCTTCAAGTCTCTCCTTCATCTTTGAGAGGATTTTCCATTATTCACTGTATATAGGAGGACAGATACCATGCAACATTGCAGTAAACATTTCTTTGATTCTGACGAATTCTTTGTTTCTTAATACTCTGCTTAGCTTTTGGAAGCCATCTTCTGTTATCCTAATTCACCTTTCTATTTCATTAAAATCAATATATATATATATATATATATATTCAGAGCAGCATGTATCTATCCAGTTCTTATCTCAAATAACAACTTAAAAGAGACTGTTTGACCAACACAAGGAATGTTAAAAGATTCATGTTAAAAAGATAAAAAAAAAAAAAAAACAAATGAAACTACAGACAAAAGTTAATTTTCTCCAAAAAAAGACTCATTTCTGTAGTTTACTGCTACCAGCAAGCAGAAATATTTCTCCTCCCGATGATGGCCATTTCGGTTGAAACTAGTCGAGGAATCTAAATGAAATAATAATAAAAAAAAAAACGAAAGAATATTAATCTACAACCCAGTGGTTCTAAAGATTTTAATTTTTTATTTTTTTATTGTTCTATATATATATATATATATATATTGAGGTCGATCACCGCGTGCAGTAACTTTGGAAAAGCATACCACGGGTTGACCCAAGCCTTG